TATCTCTGAAAAGGCAGAATTTACATTGAAAGCCTTCAGGGATGTACTATACTATCCAGAACAACTACATTAGGCTGTAATTGTTCTGGTCACTATAGTTTCCCTTTAATGTTGGGCTGTAAGAGAACCCACTGGGAGCATTAGGTTATGTTTCTATCCATATGGCTTTCCTCTCTTCCCTTGTTATACTTTGTACAGTACACTATGTTAACCTGTTAATGACTGCTTAGAACTTTAATGTTTTATTATGTAAAAAAATGAACAAAATGAGGACAATGTTTACCATCAAGTTAATATATCATGTATAATGTGTCTGTGCTGTTTCTTTGGCTCCGTAAATCATTTAGCATCCATCTGTATTTCTAATGAATAGTAATGCACACATTGAACCTGAATGTGTTGTGTGTGATGTCTTCTTAATGAAAAGATATTAAAAAAGAAATGAATGTCTTGAAGTTTTTTATGATTTGAAAAATAATTTCTTCTCGCTAGATTTTGTAATATTCCATTAGGCCTAAGGCAAAGAGAATTGTTACTCATGTTCCCCATATGATGCAATGTCCTATTAAACGTGAAACAAAACAAGTACAGATATTTCCTTTATTTTATTCAGCATTTGATATCAGAATGGGTGTGCGTTGATTAAAGAGGGTGGCCCTCATAGCATTGCCAGTGTATGTGCTACTGTTGAACTGAACTTTGAACAAGTGACAAATCAATCCATTTATGATTGTGTTCTAACAATGGCCGTAAAGGAACACTATAGTGTTAAGAATACGAAGATGTATTCCTAACAGTATAGGAACCTTCTGCTCTCCCCTCACCCCCCTCCTCAGCGATGTAAAAAACACTTAATGCTGGGTCAGGCTCTACCTTTTAACAACGTCAGCTGATGGGGGAACCAAATATGCATGCGTGGCAAGTGCCGCGCACATTAGGACTTCTCCATAGGAATGCTTTTTGACTTAATGCTTTTCTATGGGGGTTTTCCACACGCTGGATGTCCTCATGCAGAGCGTGAGGATGCCCAGTGTCATTTCACAGAGTCAAACTCCGTGAATCTGCAGGAAGCGCCTCTAGTGGCTGTCTGGGAGCTGGGGGGCTGGGCGGGGTGCTTTTTCTTTCAAGTTGAGCACCCAGCCCAGCCTCCCAGCTTCAGAGCCCCTTTGGAGGTGACCACAGATATATATTTGAGTAGGTTTTGGATAATAATGTCACTTTAATTATAATTTTCGAGAGCAGATATATAACTTGCATTGTGAGTATAGACATCAAAGCACTATCACTTTAATTGTTTAGTTTTGAAAAAAATGTAAATTGCATTTATCACATTAATTTTGCATTATATATATCCCAATGCTCTTACAAACAGATTATTTAAATACACTTTAGCTTATTTAGCACTAGCACTATTTGATTTGTCTCCTACATTGTAATTAGTGTAGGAATCACCGACATTGGGGTACTGTGAAGTTGTGGTGGGATTAACACAATATGGCCATATGGTGGAACTGAATCCCCATATTTGTTTGCTGAGATAGGTGATTTTAAATAGCCTTATAGAATTTAGAAATAATTTTTATGTGTGCGGTTTTCCTTAATATGCAGTATGTATACATTTTAGTTGCTACGGTAGCACCATTCCTGCAAGATGCATGTTCTAGGTGTGCCCCCAATTCCTTTTTGTTTTTACTATTCAAATTTTCTTTTGTCTATCAAAGTAATAATAATATATTAATAAGTTGGCATGTTCAATATAATCAATATTTAGTCATCATTACTCATCTTCATCAAGTGGAATGTGGCAAATTCTTCGGTAACACTTTCATGAACTACTTTCAACTAGTTCCTACCCATATGAGACCCTTTGAAACTACTTGGGTCTCTGCATTTATTATTCACAAATATGTCCCATGGTCTTCTGCTAAGTCATTTTTATTATTGTACCTTTTCTTGTCAATAATGTACATGTAGTTAATAATAAATACAGTGAAAGGTGTAAAAAGTACGTTTCCATTTATTTAGGTATAAGTAGACTTAAAATTCTGCAGGGCCACATTATTTTTCTTGAAAATATAAAAATTTGCAGGAAACTCAAAGTTCAGCGACATGGCGATTCAGCTCAGCAGAAATTCAGTCCTGAAAAATATTCTAATCAATGTACTGAAAAATATATACATGGCACCTTTTGTCTGAAAAGGCAGTGTTTACATTAAAAAGCCTGCAGGGCGGGGGCAGGGCCTGAGCTCTATTGTGGCTGGACATTCTTTCTGTTCCGGGTGCCAGCCGAGGTGCCCTGGAGCACTTCTGTGGTTGGCATTCTGCTTCTTTGACGGCAGTTCCAGCAAGGCCTAGCGGAACCATCAGGTGGGTTAGGCGGCTGCTCTCCCGTGCTATACATTGCTGTGCTTCTCCAGGCTTACCTTGCGGCCCTGTTCCCCCCCCCCATCTGGGCCAGCGGGGGTTATCCCGGTCCTCACTGGCTTGCAACACACAACAGCTTGGATACGGCTGCATCTGCTGAAACCCCAGTGCAGCTTGATTCCACAAGATGGCGGTGGTGAGTCCTTCATGTGGCCTCAGACTAATGCGGCGTGGGCTTGCTTTCCCTGATCTGGTGGCACAACCCCTGAGGTGGCTTGATGTCACCTTTGACTGTTTTTGAGCCTCCCTAGCGAAACAGCAAGCAGCCTTACCAACTTAATCCCAGGAGGAAAAATGTGAGAGCACGAGCCTTGATCAAACACCAACATTCTTCGCTACTGGCCTGCCTGGGCCGAGGGCCACCAGTGGCAAAGCGACGTTGCATAGTCCACACAGACGGAAGACCACCTGCTACCAGCAGAGATACACCATCAAGGTCTTCTGTCCTCCCCTAGGGGAAAGGACTTGGTCACCAAGATCACACAAGTCCATGGCACGAAGATGCTGGCCTACTACCCGGGCCTGGTACTGGAGGGATGCCCAGCACCGCTCCCCTGGCATTGCTGCCTTGCAGGCCCTTCGCAAATATGAACCACATTTTCTCAGCCTAGGAATAGGCTGAAGATCAGTTTCTCACTAGGGACAGCATAATCGCTATGGGACTTACCTGCGAGCAACTGCTGCTACCTCGACCTCATCAACTCCACTTAGCTCCCATAAGCTTCACTTTAGCTGTGCCCCTTATCTTTGTGTTTATCCTTGTGTTTTTTTATTTATTTTTATTATAAGTAATCTTTAATTTTGGTACATGCTCATAGCAGCACGAGGCATCATTGTATAAACGTTCTTTTGCCCAGTGGCTCACTGATATTAAGGTGTGACCATCTCATGTCTAAAACCAACATGTTGCATATACACACATCACCTGTTTATGACCTAGACGTAATCCCTATTTAGAGTATACACTCCTGGAGTTTCACAATTATCTAGCTTGTTACAGATCCTGTTTCACCTTTAAAAGATTAGATTAGCATGTTCCACAGCTATTATACTTAATATTCCTCCACATGTCTACGTAATCCTGCATAGCTAAGACAAGCCTACCTTTTACTTACTCAGACATGTCTGAATAGCCTGACACTCTTGTTTAAATTACTATAAAAATTAATGTGCATACTTACATTATGCAATGTTAATGTATAATTTGTAGAGCTCCCTATTGCCTATACTATAATATGGATCTGTAAGTGTGTTTACCATTTCATGCACAGCAAAAATAAAGAATTCTAAAAAAAAAAGCCTGCAGGGACAGGCAGTAGACTCAAGAATCACTATAGAAAGCTGTAGTTGTTCTAGTGACTATAGTGTCCCTTTAAAGAAAAGCTTTTAAGAAACCTAACAATCATCCATTCTGTCTTTCACAACCAAATGATATTGGCTAACCTCAAGTAAAATGTCATGTCCACCTGTAATCCAAATACCACTCCATTTTTATGTGTTAAAGAAAAATGATATTTTGCCCGCCATCAGCAATTTAGCTCTAATTCTAAATCTGTCCTTAATGATTCAATTTTATGTTGTGTCTTAAGTGTTTTTTTTTCTTTTGCTCTGTGCTGAAATGTCAGTCATTGTACGTGTGACATTTTGGAATTATCTTTTAAGTTTAGAATTGGCATTTGACTCAATTACTCTAAAAGGCGTCAAATTATATATCAAGGCCTCTCCCTATGATTGGCATAACAGTGTCTGCAACCGCTGAAATGTCACAGTCACAGATGATGAGAAAAAGGTTAAGGAAATATTTACTAAACCATTATCAGCCTATGATGCACTCAGTAGACTAAAACATAAGCTTACAGCTTTAGGTAAGTATTTTTTTCTTATTAACCCCCTGTTTGCATAATTATCAAGATTTAAAATAACATATTTTTAAGAGTTACAAACTGTAACTACCTCTCACAATAAAAACAAGTGAACAATACAAACATCATATAAGCGGTACTCATTCCCCAAGACATTTACTTATAATTCACCTGTGTCCCTCTATACTGTCCCCGCTTAAATTAGCATTACCCCAGTGTTATAGGAAGATGCCCCTTTGGGGTACATCGTGTCTTGTCTTTTTTTGTTGTTGAAATAATTATAAAAGGATAATTATATACTGGTTCTGCCCCTGGCACTAGTTGTAGGCATACTTGTGTCATCCCGGATCTCCGTGGGAAGACCTGTTTCGCCACCCCCTCTCCTCCACCCACTACTTCCCAACTTCTATGTGTCAATCCCCCATACACCCCGGCCCCATCATATTACATTATCAGTGACTGTAATGTGCCCCTGGTATAAAACTATATGCAACAATTCCCTATGCCACATTATATGGTGCATAATATGTTACTTGTGCCCTTCTGGTTGGGATGGCACCATATGTCCTCCAATTCAGGGCCACAGAAAGTCACGGTCTGTTCCTGGGCTGGTAGGCTTGGGTGGACCAAATGTCCCTGGTATGATCAGAGTCCGTCTCCCGCCAGGCCTCTTTTCGCCCAGAGGGTGCGTAACGCGTGAGCAAGAGTGACACTTTAGGTGCCTCGCGATGCAGGCTGAGGCATGGACGTGGGTGTGTAGGGGAGCCTCTTCCCCGGAGTTCTCCTCTTCTCCGCCATTTCTCTCCATCGAGTCCTCTGTGGTAGGGCTTCTGGTGCTCCCTGCGCCAAAGGGTCATACCAGTCCTGAATCTCAATTTGAGGGAGATCAAATGTTTTAATGAAGTCTGGCACATCGAGGACTATGGTGATGCAACTCTGTACTCCTTGGTGGGATGCTGTTAGTGAGAATGGGTAGCCCCAACGGTATCGGATTTCTTTAGCCTGCAGAGCCTGGGTGATAGGTCTCAGAGCTCTCCTACCTTGGAGCATCAGCCAGGCCAGGTCGGGCAGTATCTGGATCTGCGTAGTGGACATGTTTAGAGCTGGAGGGTTCCTGGCCTGGCGCAATATGTCCTCTTTCAGGGTATACTAGTGAACCCTGCAGATAATGTCTCTGGGGTCTCCTGTGGGAGTCCTCGGGGCCTCACCGAACGGTGCGCCCTATCTAGTAGTATAGGGGTATCTGTAGCACATTGTAAAATATTATTGAAGAGAGTTTGGAGGGTGTCCCTGACGTCTTCAGATTCCCCCTGTGCCTCCAGCATGCCTCTGCCTCGGAGGTTATTTCTTCTGCCCCGGTTGTCGAGGTCTTCTCGACGCATTATTTGGGCTATATTGGACTCTTGAGCATCTTGTCTTTGCTCTATATTGTGCAACCTGAGCTGTATATTGTCCCTGTCCTCCTCCAGGTCCCCCACCCCGATCCCTATCTGGCGGACTTCCGTGGTGATGGAGGACAGTCTTTCCTGCATAGAGGCCTCCAGTTTTGCCAGCATAGAGGCTAGGTCCTCTTTTGAAGGCATATTCTGCAGTATCTCCTGCAGTGTTGCGTTCCCAACGCTCAATATCTGCCTCTGCGAGCACCCTCACCTTGTCCCTGAAGTAGCGGTCTAAATCTCCCGCTTTTTTGCTCGAACCCGGTCCCGGTGTGTCCTGAGACTTTGTGAGCTTTTTTTTTTACCCATGTTGTGATTAGTTTTCGTTTGGCGGCTGTAAATTGCACGGTTTGACGGGAGCTCTGCAGAAATGCGACCGTTCACATGGACAATTAGGCCACACGCCCTTACAAACTGTGTGTGTTAGTGTGTGCAGTGTGTATTGTATTGGTGTATGCAGTGTGTGTACTGTATTGGTGTATGCAGAGTGTGTGTTGTATTAGTGTATGCAGTATGTGTTGTATTAGTGTAAGCAGTGTGGGTGTTGTAGTGTATGCAGTGTGTGTGTGTTGTGTTAGTGTATGCAGTGTGTGTTGTATTAGTGTATGCAGTGTGGGTGTTGTAGTGTACGCAGTGTGTGTGTGTTGTGTTAGTGTATGCAGTGTGGGTGTGTTGTGTTAGTGTATGCAGTGTGTGTGTTGTGTTAGTGTATGCAATGTGTGTATTGTGTTAGTGTATGCAGTGTGTGTTGTATTAGTGTATGCAGTGTGTGTGTTGTGTTATTGTATGCAGTGTGTATTGTATTAGTGTACGCAGTGTGTGTGTTGTGTTAGTGTATGCAGTGTGTGTTGTATTAGTGTATGCAGCGTGTGTCTGTTGTGTTAGTGTATGCAGTGTGTATGTTGTATTAGTGTATGCAGTGTGTGTGTTGTGTTAGTGTATGCAGTGTGTGTTGTGTTAGTGTATGCAGTGTGTGTGTGTGTGTTAGTGTATGCAGTGTGTGTGTGTTGTGTTAGTGTATGCAATGTGTGCATTGCGTTAGTGTATGCAGTGTGTGTTGTATTAGTGTATGCAGTGTGTGTGTTGTGTTATTGTATGCAGTGTGTATTGCATTAGTGTATGCAGTGTGTGTGTTGTGTTAGTGTATGCAGTGTGTGTTGTATTAGTGTATGCAGTGTGTGTCTGTTGTGTTAGTGTATGCAGTGTGTATGTTGTATTAGTGTATGCAGTGTGTGTGTTGTGTCAGTGTATGCAGTGTGTGTGTGTTGTATTAGTGTATGCAATGTGTGTTGTATTAGTGTATGCAGTGTGTGTGTTGTGTTAGTGTATGCAGTGTGTGTGTGTGTGTTGTATTAGTGTATGCAATGTGTGTGTTGTGTTAGTGTATGCAGGGTGTGTGT